GAGAACAATAAGTGTTCTATTTCCAAGAATGGACAGCACCTAGTTAGTGTTGAATGCAAAGACAGGTTGTTTGTGATAAATGCTTCTTTTGCAGGTCCAGATGACACGGATGACACGGAGGAGGCTCAAGCGCAGTGTGCCAATGTTCCAGTTCATGATGCGTGTCAACATCTCTGGCACAGACGTATGGGACACGTGTCGTGGGGGTCGGTGAGAAGGATCCCAGAGTATACGCAAGGGTGCAAAATGAAATCATGTGCTAAGTTTCTAGATTGCAGAGCGTGCAAGTCCGCAAAGGTGAAAACGTGCACATACCCTAGGTCTGAGAGGGTGACCACTAGGGCTTTTCAATTAATTCATGCAGATTTGTGTGGTCCGTTTTCTGTGAGCAGTTTGGGCGGAGCCAAATTCTCGCTGGTTCTGATTGATGACCATACTAGGAATTCTTGGTGTTTTTTGCTTCAACGCAAAGATGAAGCTGCGCCGCTAATCAAAGACTGGATTGCGGCTGTGGAACTGCAGTTTTCCACACGGGTGCAAAACTTTCAGAGCGATCGCGGTGGGGAGTTCACCGGGTCTGCACTGCAAAGTTTCTTCCGCAAAAGGGGATTCAACACAGGTTGACTTCTCCACACAGTCCCCAACAGAATGGGATCGCGGAACGCAGGAACAGGACTCTAGGGGAGATGTCCGCAGCTCTTTTGTTTGATGCCGGGCTCCCACAGCGCTTTTGGGGGGAGGCTTGGCGAACGGCCAACTTTGTTCTGAACAGGTCGTTCAATTCAGTGGTAGGTGACACACCATATTTCTTGCTCCATGGCGAGAAACCGAATGTGCACTACTTCCGCGTTTTTGGCTGTGAGGCTTGGGTCCCCATACCAAAGGCCAAACGCAAGAAAGGTGAACCCAGGTCCCAAAAGATGATTTTTTGTGGGTATGAGCCAGGGACCAAGGGGTGGAGGTTTGCTTATCCGTCAGGGAATCAGTCCAGGATTCTGCTCAGCAACAGTGCTGAATTCTGTGAGCAGAGTGGCTGGGCAAGGATACATGGGAACCCTGACATCCTGTCAGAGAGTCTGCTAGACTCTGCTGATGAAGGAGAGGAAGAGGTTGAACCTGCGACTGAGGCTCAGAGTCCAGACCCAGTGCAGGCAGAGGGGAGAACTTCTCCCAAGGCTGTGAAGAGTGAGCAACGCAGTGCTCCATCTTCCCCCACAGGTTCGGCTGAGAAGTCCAGAAGGCGCAGTAAGTCAGAGGGGGAGCTCTCTGATGCCAAGGACGTTCTGGCTGGCCCTAGTGGGTCAGAAGGGGTTCCTGAAGTAGTGCTGCGCCGTTCAACGCGGACGACCAAGGGGAACCTCCTGAAAGGTTTGCCGTCACTAGTGTGTGGGTCGGAATGGCACAGTGTGAACCCGAGAGTTTTGAGGATGTTCAGAAACTGCCTCAAGAAGAAGCCAGGAAATGGCATGAGGCGATGCAGAAGGAGATGACCTCAATGGAGTCTCTAGGTGTGTTCTCCCTCACGAAGTTGCCGGTGGGTGAAAAGGCAGTGGGTAGTCGCTGGGTTTACCGTCTTAAGCCCACAGCGGCAGGAGAACCGCAGTATAAGGCCAGATTAGTGGCGAGAGGATTCACGCAGCAGAGGGGGGTTGCATTATACGGAGAGTTATGCGCCCACGTGTAGGAGTGAGTCTCTACGCTTGATCTTGGCCATCGCTGCACAAAGAGGTTTGCTGGTGCATCACTTTGATGTGGATGTTGCTTACTTGAACTCAGACCTCCAGGAGGATCTGTACATGCTTCCTCCTCCAGGGTTTGAGGGCAATGAGCGAGGTACTGTGTGGAAACTTCACAAGTCAATTTACGGCCTGAAGCAGTCGGCCAGGAATTGGAACTTGTCCCTGAATGAAGCTTTGGAGAAGCTAGGTTTCAGGAAGAGTCTTGCTGACAGTTGCCTGTTCCTTAGAGGATCAGGAGACTCACAGGAACTGGTGTTGTTTTACGTTGATGACATCATCCATGTTGGAAAGGCAGACAAACAGGTGCAGAAGTTTGCCAAAGAGCTTGGGAAATGGTTTCAGCTCAAGGACCTGGGTGCAGTAAAGATCTACCTAGGTGTCCAGATAGCGAGAACTGAGGATGGTAGCTTCTTGCTAAGTCAGAAAGGCAAGATTGAGCAGTTGCTGGAGAAGTTCAGAATGTCCGATTGTGCAGGAGTTCAGACACCCATGGAGACGAACTTCGTGAAAGATAGCCAGCAAGCAGAAAGTGCTGAGTTCGAGAATGCTGAGCTCTTTCAATCAGCTCTAGGTAGTCTGTTGTATCTGTCCCAATGGAGCAGACCAGACATTGCTTTTGCTACCAACCTGCTAAGTAGGGAAGCGTCAAAGCCCAGTGTGAGTGCTTGGCACGGTATCAAGCGGGTACTGCGCTACCTGCAGCATACCAAAGACTTCTGTCTTAAGCTGCCAGCTGAAGGTGAGGCGATGCTCACATGCTATGCGGACAGTGACTGGGCGAATTCGCAGGACCGCAAGTCTGTGTCTGGGTTGTTGGTAAAGTTTGGGAAGTCACTAGTTGGGTGGAAGTCCCGGAAGCAAAGTCTCATTGCGCTGTCTTCTACTGAGGCTGAATTCAGTGCATTGTCAGATTTGTGCCGAGAACTAGAGTTCTATAGATGCTTGGTGCAAGAGATCTATGGGGATTGTAGCTTGCCCATCACGGTTTGGGAAGACAATCAGCCCTGTTTGAAGTTGGCTGAATCTGCGCAATTTAAGGCCAGAACCAAGCATCTGGACATACGTTTCCGAAATGTGTGTCAGAGTGTTCAGTCAGGTTTGATACGACTGAAGTACTGTGCCAGTCACAGTAACCTGGCCGATGGATTTACCAAACCTTTAAGCTTCCAGCGTCATGGGGAGTTTTGTGGTGGTTTGGAGTTGGGGGTAAGTTCTGTACTTACGTTCCCCACAGTAGCGCAGGGCGAGAGGGGGTGTGAGAAGAACCTGAGCTTACAGGGTTAAACAGCTCAGACTGTACGCCCTGCCTACTAGTGGGAGGGGGGATTTTCTATGTCAGTTCCGAGAGACTAAAGTCTTTGTTCTGTCTCTCTACTTTCGCTTTTGAGGAGAGAGGACGTGTTTTTCACGATGCTGTTCGCTGTGATAGATAATGGATAGCCTGCTGTAAATAAAACTGCTTTTAGCTGCCAAGAACCTGAGTGGACTTTATTTAAGTACACTGAAGAATGCACGGAGTGTTTTGCAGCTTCCTCTAGCCGCTGTGGATCTCAACTCTGCTATGCTCAGATGAGTCGGACTCTTGGAATGCCGAGACTCTTGGGGGAAGCGTGCCGGACCGGACGCTTATCTGAGCAATAAATCAATATATCCCAGAGATAAAGGTAAAGAGAGCCTCCACTAGGAAAGGTGACTTCCAATATCATGTAATCTTTTGGGATTATGCCCACCCCACCCCCGGTTATGTGTTTGGATCTCCTTGTGTGTCATTAAATGACTTCCTAATTATTTATTTTTATATAGTTTTTTTAAAGCTCAGATTAACACTTTTGTATTGTCATATAATTTTCAGGCATCTTAGTGCTTTTTCAGCATTGTTTTAATTAAATCCAAAAGACACACACACACATACACACACACACACAAACACACACAAAGGGAAACCAGTAGAGAGAGGTGCATTGAAACAAAACAAATAGTAGTAATAACCAAGATAGGGCACATAAGATAGAGGGCACCACAGAAAAAAAGAGAGGAAAAGAGAAGGCAGGGGGAGAAGAAAAAAAGGAAAGTTGGGAAAAGGTTAAGAGGGAGAAGGATGATGTTTGCAACCTTTTCATTCCAATAATTTATGAAAAGGATCCTTCTTTCTAAGGACTGCTCTCTTTTTGCTTTCTGACTTCTCTACTTGAGTATGTCAGTTTATTGCATGTTACCACTTGCCATACTTTTTCTCTTAGTGGGGCCTGGGGGGGGGGGGTCACTTCTGTCTTCCAGTATTCAGCAATGCAAATTCTGGCTCGCACTAGAAGAGTTGCAATCACTTCTAAGTCTGTTGGTCTCACCTCCAATCTCAGATAGCAAAGAAGAACTGTTTTCAGAATGTGTGGCAAGCTGTAGTCAGTGCTTTCTTGTATCATGTCAAACACACAATTCCAGAATTCCTTAAATTTTTTTACACTACCAAAATATATGACTTCCTATTTTGGGTGATGTAAAGAAAGAGTGTGTTCAACTTACTTTCAAGGTTCAGTTCACTTATTGCAGTGATTCTGTGTCACCATTAAGATTATTTCCAGTAAGATGCAAACTTTAATCTCTGCTGAAAGCTGCCAGAAAGTGTGTCCAGAATTTTTAAAATGCTGTTCAGTAGTCTGGGGAGTATTAGTAATTATTAATTGCCTTCCATATATGTCCCAATGTGATGTACAAAATACAATAAAAACAGAAGAAAAAATAACAAGATGCTCACTTGGTTAGTGTGTGGTGCTGATAATGCCAGGGTCACAGGTTCAATCCCCATATCGGACAGCTGTATATTCCTGCATTGCAAGAGGTTGGACTAGATGATCCTCAGGGTCCCTTTCAACTCTACAGTTCTATGATTCTATGACTGCAAAGTGAACATCCATAGCAAAGACTTGTACATTCATCTGGGAATGCTTATTAGAATAAAAAAAAACTTTTTCAGTTATTTCCAGAAATAACTCAAGAGGAGTACTGAGCAGAGTAGTTTATTAAAAGGTTATCAGCAGCCACAGTGCATCTATCATAAAGCTTCTTCTATCCCTTAAAGATAGTGTGTCCACTTCTGACTGTAAAATCACACTTCTGCCAAATCTTGAGCTGTAGAACATAGTAGCCTGTATTCTTAGTTTGTATCTGCATCACAGTTTGATGTGCTAAATTAAGCTTGTGTTAAAAACTATGTGTCAGACTGTCCAGGGATTAGAATCTAAGGAAGAGTAGTGTGTATTCTAAGCATGGCTGCTGTCTCAATTGGTAGAGCATGAGACTCTTAATGTCAGGGTTGCGGGTTTGAGTTCCATGTTAGGCAAAAGATTCCTGCACTGAAGGGAGGTGGACTAGATGACCCTTGTGGTTTCCTCCAACTCTAGAATTCTATGATTTCACAGTGCTAAAGAAAATAGTAACTGTGGCACAAAACCTTAGAAAATGGAGTCTTTATCAAGGCTGCTGCATTTAAAAGAGACAGACAGTATGGATTCCTGATTGTTTAGGATAATATCATTGTCAACAAACTTTATGGTGCTGTTAATAATGAACAGAAATCAACACACACACACAACATCATTAGCTGATTAAACAGCCCTGGTTGGCTTCCTTAACTTCAGGCTCAGGCTTTGGGGTTGTGTATTTAATAGATGGCCAGCTCCAGGTTGCAGCTATTGTTGCTTCTGAGCTCTGAAGAGAGCGAGAGATTCATTACCCCCTAAAACACAATGGACATTTATCACACTGTGGGTTATTCAAATCCAGCACCAATTGCAGGCCACCCCCATTCTTTGCTAGCCCTCCTCTGCAACACACTTATTGTTTTGGGGCTCCAGTAAAGACCTTGGTCCAACCAGCCGCTGCCTTCAGTCCACTGTCTCCTGCGTGACTTCCTGCATCAGAGCTCTGGAGCTGGCTCTGGAGCCAGTTTTGGACCATACCAGAGCTCGTCTGCTGCATCCCTGGCAGCAGATGCTGCCAGCTCAAATGGATTTGCGGGAGCTGAGCAGGGAAGAAAGAGAAAGAGAGAGAGATGGTGGGGTTTTTTAAAAATTAAAAAGCAACCCAGAGGCAAACAATCAGTGAAGAAGTTTTGGGGAGGGGCCCAAGGGGGACATTTGGAAGGAAAACATCCAGCCTCTGGATACTCCACTTCTCCCCCCCCCAAAAAAAAGTCAGTTGGGGATGCCTGTGAGCAGATAGGTCTTGGCCAACATCCGTGTGCATGCTGCCTGATTTGGAAGGAAGAAAACGAGTAACAGGTATAAAGGAGCAAAGGAACTCAGCTGGTAATTAGGAAACTCCACATTGTATGGCTGGCAATGCGGGTGGGGTGGGCAACCATGCTTAGATATTACTTTAGGAGGTACTTTTGTAGACCAATGTTAAGAAATATACTATTGTTATTTTCTATTATCCTTCTCTCGTTTTTGTTTGTGTTTTTAAATTTCTGGTTGCTTTTCTTCCCAATCGTCTAGCAGGGAATTTATAGTATCACTAGTATCTGGATGGAAAAATCTAGGAAATTGCAAGGAGAGGGAATATCTCTGGGTATATATACAGCAGGGGAGTAAATGTACATATCTAACTAACCGGTCAACAGCTGTATCTGTTGGGATTTAGTCGCTCCTGCTCCAAACTGCTGTGGCTGTGCTTTGCTTTATTTTAAAGTTATTATCATTATTAAGATCATCATCAATTGTGTGGGTTTCTAAAACATTAATGTTCCATCTCTCTGTCTCCCCCCCCCCCCCAGGATAGCTAGTAAGACTTTAAACTTCACACATTGCATGCATTCCTGCATATGTGGAGCAATATTTTCCTTTCTGCTAGCGATTCTGCTTTAGGTTTAGACCAGTTCCGTGTGGGCCAGATACTTCAAATCAGCTGAAATGAAATTTAAATCTCCACTTGGACCTTTTCTGCAATTTTCCACAGGGGAAGCTGTGTCTCATATGAGATAAGACTAACTATTTGAAGGGGAAAGAAAGGCAAATCAGCACTTAACCACTTCTTTACAAAAAAAGTGAAAGTCTTTCTAATTTGCATCCCCATAGATTCATGCCAATTCTAGAATATTTATTACAGCAATAAAAACAAAACTCCGAACCACTGCAAATATGAGCCTTCAGGTTTGGAAGAGGGGCGGAGAAGGAGACAGACAATAGAATGGACCATTTGATGCTGACCTTTTGAATCCTGTTTTTGATCATGCAAATAAAACAGAAATAAAATAAGATAGGTAGGATTTGATTGTTTTGTTTTTGTTTTGTTTGAGTGGGGAATTTCATCCTGTAAACTGGATGTTTGATCTTTGCTGGTAAAAGCAGGAAAATTGCATCTAATTTTACAGGGAAAAACTAAATTTGGAAAAAGGGTGAATATAGTTCTAAATTCCATTTCCTTTTTGCTGGTCCTGTAAGACCAAGTTGGGAACGAAATGGTCCAAAATACAGAACCACAGTGTATATTTTAAAAAATAAAATATATTTTTTTTCTTTTTAAAACCATTATTTTGAATGTTTGTGACGAGGTGGTGGTGGGCAATGAAAACAGTGTTGTTTGCAGGGTACTCGGGGGTGGGGTTTCAGAGGCTGATGACCTGTTCCAAGATCCCATTTTAAAAAGCAGAAGGAAAATAGGTTTTTTACCTCTTAGATGATATTTCTCACTGCACCCACAGGGAAGGGGATCAACAATGATTTATTCAAAACTTATCTGGGGTTTATGTGTGTAAGAGGGTGTGAGCCACCTCCACCCCACTCAATCAATTTTACTTTATCATTGAAACAAATTGGACATTCTTATTTTGAAAGTCTAGTCAGTTTCACAGGCATAGGCAACAGCAGATGCTTAGAAGGGATAGATTCCCTAAAACACATTTTCACTCCCCTCCCCCACTCATGCCCTGCCAAAACGATCTGATTAGATTAATAGTGAGAAATGAAGGAGGGGGAAGAGAGAGGCAGGAGGCAGGATGAGAGAAATGGGAGAGGGAGAGGAAGGGGAGAGGGAGAGGGAGAAGAAGGAGTGCAAAAGTGATCAAGGGGACAGTTTGGGCATGCTGTGGTTTTTCCTAGGAAAATGTCTATTTTTGTTTGTTGTTGTTGCTGCTGTTTAATTTTATTTCTCTCCCTGTAAGAGAGATGTCAACACAAAACACAAAACACGGAGAGATCCTGGAACCTTTGCTTCTGATTGTCCAAACGCAATTCTTGTCCAGGAAACATAGAAACCAAGAATTGTGTCTGGACATCTGGGGCTGAGTCTTCAACTCCCTCACATCAACCTTTCAGGAGACAGAGCTGGGGTGGGGATCAAAGGACTTATTCCAATCTATGATCCACAAGGCAATCCATCCCCTTGCCTGTTACTCAAGATGGAATTTCTCAAAAGTTGGGACCTGCGATTTCTCAATAAAATAGGTGTAGAGTTATTTTATGATTTTTCATTATTTAGTCTACTGCTGGATGCCATTGAAAAACCCACAATTTAAGTGGTTAAAATATCTGTTAATATGTTAAAGCAGATTTTATGTTGTGTGTGTGTATTCATATATTTTCTTTCTTTGTTTAATTCTTGTCTACTTGTTCTGAACCTGAATAAAGAATTTAGACTGATTTTCCATTGATTTCCCCCCTCATTTTCTCTTAAAAGAAATAAGCTATGAATTTGTTGAAAATCATTTAAAATAAACAAAAGAAGCCACTGGCATTAAATTAAACTGGATTTTTTTTAAGTGGGGTAGGAAGAGAAAGAAAGAAATGGGAGTAAAGAACATTCAGATAGGAATCTTTTTGCCAGAACATGGTTGAAGACAGCAGAGCAAGGCAGAGTCTGGTGTACCTTGAAATTTCCCTCCTTGGATGAATTTGAATAACTCTTGGATTGAGTTTGTGTGTAAAATCATACAAATTAAGGCTGGGAGCAGCGCATGGCATCTATCTATCTATCTATCTATCTAGATTAGTTTAAGCTGCTTACAAATGAAATATAAACATGAATATGGCAGGCATGGCATGGCATTTTTATATTAAAAGCAGCAAAATGGGAGAGTTACTAGCTGGCAATACCTGAAGGGGTTCAGGGAGAAGAAGGTGGAACCACATGGTTTCAAAAGGCTCACACTCTGGGAACAATTTAATCGGGGTCCTCAAACTTTTTAAACAGGGGGCCAGTTCACTGTCCCTCAGACAGTGTTGGGGGCCGGACTATAGTTTGAAAAAAATATGAACGAATTCCTATGCACACTGCACATATTTTATTTGTGGTCACAAAAAACAGGAAAAACAATACAATATTTAAAATGAATAACGATTTTAATCAACATAAACTTACAAGTATTTCAATGGGAAGTATGGGCCTGCTTTTGGCTAATGAGATGGTCAATATCCGATTCCATATTTGTCACTGCTAGTTGTAGCAAGTGATGCAAGTGTTCATCCTGCAATCTGAGGCTCTTCTTCGTGTGTCTCCCCCACAAGAGGTCTGGAGGCCTGCAACACAAGAATGGGTCAGCAGCCTCCTTACACATTGTTCTGAATTCAATAAGGCGTTAGAATGTAATCTAACTCCTAAATTGTTGGATCTGGCAAAGGTTGGAAATAACGCAGGGCAGGTTCCTCATGAGGTAGTCATGTGACAATGGCTGAGTCAGATGGGCCATTGGGGGAGGGAAGTGGGGGGATCGGGTTGCTTTTCCGGATTGGGTGGGGGGAGTTGTGACTAAGAAACAATAGGAGGGGCAGGAATCGCGCTCTGCAGTCGCCTGGAGCTTTGCAAAAAAGGGGGGAATGGGGAAGGTTGTTGCTTGATCCCCCCCCCCCCATGGTCTTCTCAGCCTGCACTGCGATCTCTTTGAGGCCATTGCACAGAAATTCACCCCAGGACTTTTTTTTTACGTTTCCCACGCACTCCCTTCTTTTCCCGCCCCCCACCTCACCCCATCCCAGTGATTAATGCATGCAGCTCTGTGGGGCTGGAAAGAGGGGCGGGCAGAGTTGTATGGTCTTGCCCCCCCTTCTCAAACTGGGGTGGCAGCCGCTTTAGGAAGGCGAGGGGAGGGCAGGAGTCGTTGCACTGCATCTCTGGGGATTGATCCTCCTCCTGTTGGTGGCTTTCCTTGATCCCGTCTCTGGTGATCTGTGGCTTCCCCTCTCCCTCTGTAGGGGTGGGCATGCACTGTAAGTAGTGGTTTCATATTTTGCTCACCCATCGAGCTGGTTTGTTTGTATTCCCCCCCACCGTCTGATCTGCTTTTTCCTCTCACAGTGACTCATTCTCTTTTAACTGCCATCGCTGGTGGAAGCCACAATTGCTGGGCGGGGCAGGTTCAGGACCCTGGCTGGCCGGATCTGGCCTGTGAGCCATAGTTTGAGGATCCCTGCATTAAAGGGTTGATCATACAGGAAAGGGGAAGGCTTGGCAATGGTCCTTGGCCTTTTCAAAAGCAACTCATCTGGCTCTCCCCACCCCTTTCACTGTTTCCTCCATTTCCTAGATTGTCTGGCTCTAAGGAGTGCTGCTCTCTCCCTCAGACACTGAAATGTTTGTGTTTTAACTGTATAAATTTTGTAGAAGTCAGACTTTCACTCCACTCCACAGTATTAATAGACATGGGGCTGCTGATCCTGAGGGTGGGTGTCATTTCTTGTTGAAAACCAGTTTGGAGGTGGATGGTGGTGCTGGTGGGGGAGCCTAGGCCACACAGAGCCATCCCTTTGTACAAGTGGGAGTTAAAAATTAGGCACATTCTAGGACTTTTTCTAAAACAGGAGAGACTTTTACTGCTGATCACTCTTGAAGTTTGATGCAACCATTTCACATATGAGATGAGCTGTTAAACCCATGAAATAGACAAAGCTTCAGTGCCAGAAGAAGAAAAACATCCACCAATACAGCCTCTAAGAAAGAAAACTTGTCCATGTGACTATGTTACCAGAAAATAGGGGGATGCCTTTAACAGCCTAACTCCTGTGATAGGAATTTTGAGGTCTTAGATATATGGTAATGTTCGTAAGTGTACCAACCAAGCACGTACATAGATCAACACAGGAAGACCAACCTGGAACCATTTTGATTCCTAAACTGAGCAAATGTTTTCCCTGCAAGGTCAAAGTGGGAAACCTCCCCATTGTCTCTTTCCTCACAAATCCTTTCTTAAGGGCACATTTAAGATATGAATAGGGTGTGAGCCTGTGACCTGGCCCAGGAACTAAGTATTTATCATTACAAAAGACTGGCTAGGCTCCCCAGTCAAACCAATCAAGTAACCTGCCAGACAGGAGATAAACAATGACAGGAGAAAAACAACATTCGTGATGTAGGTGTGATGTATCTGGGGGGTGGTCTTAGGTTACACCCCTTCTGTGATGTATGTATGATGTTTCTGGGGGTGGTCTTGATGTACAGGGTGGCAATTTCAAAAGTGTTTATAAGGCCTTGCGCACCATTGTTCTGGGTTCCTCCTCCTTTCCTGCGGGTGAGGGGAGCAGCCTGTTGCAACAGATCAATAAAGATCAAGCTTACTAGCTGCTTTGCTTCTCAATATTCTCTGGTTGGCCTCTGTTATTTTCTCCTACCAATAGGGAACCTACATAAGGACTCTATATGGGCTCTTGGATACCCCATAAGGGAGAAGGGCAATTTTTGTTTACAACACTCCCATTTTAAGGGACTCAGGGTCCCCCAGATTTGTTATTGGTCAGAGAAGAATGAACTGAGGCAGGATCCAGTGAAAGCAAGGCAGTTCTTGTCACGGCTAAAATGGCCGCTGTTTCTTTAATGCGAATAAAGCTGGGTCAGCATGACTCAGCGGTCTGCACCAAGTTGTATATGTAAGTGAGAAATGTTAGTTTGTTGCTGAGGCTGGTGTTTGGGTTGGTTGGTTGGTTAGTGCTGGTGTGTATAGTTATTCAGTCGTGTTTTGCACAAAGACTTTTAAGAATAAAACTCTGCAAGGATATTCTCGTGGACTCTTTTATGCAGACAAGGGTCCGAGGACCAGGCTGAAGAGACAAAGGGAGGTCAGAACCCTTTCCTTCTTTATTGTGCTTTATACAAACACTGACAGGTTATGGGCCCAGTGTTTCTGAGCATGTGCAGAGTGCAAAACGACTGACGGCATCTCAGCAGGGAGCTGGTGAGTCCTGGTGGTGTACGAAGCCAGTGGCTGTGCGTTGGAGCAGTTGGTGGCAAGCTGTAACTGTCTGCAGTGACGCTGGAGCGGCTAGGATCTGAGGATCAAGAAAGCACTCAGCGTCGGCTACTGGAACAGTTTGAACTGCTAGAGGACCACAGTAGGCGACTCACAGAGAGGCTACACCAGTTGCAGAGCTGGGTGGGACCTGAGGGTCAACAGAGGCAGCAGCTAGAAGCCGGTGAGTGCCAGCCAGGACTATCCAGTTGGACTCTAAAGAGAGAGTCAGGAGAGATTGCTGGTGGCCCCACAGAAGGGGCTCAGCAAGCACCAGCAGAGATGGCAGATTTCCAGTCTCCCCAAGTTGTAAATATTGGGGGAGGCATCCCTTTTGAACTTCTCTCAGAGAGCAACTGGCTGAGTTGGTCAATTAAAATGCAGTAGTTGTTAAGGAGAGATGGACTATGGGACTGTGTTGAAACTGAGGTTTGGAGACGGGACTCTGCTGAGAAAAAACGGCTAGATGAAAGGGCCCGTGTCCAAATTATGCTGTGTTTGAGCAACTCTCAGTTATTGCATGTAGCAAATGCCAGCACAGCGTTTGAGTGCTGGAATTTACTAAGGGCAATGCATGTCAGAGAACCTGCTGGAACTATAATTTCTCTGACCAGAAGGCTGTTCAGGACTGTTATGAAAGAAGGTGAGAGTTTGGCAACTCATCTTCAAATGCTGAAATCTCTGTTTCTTCAACTACAGCAGAGAGGTAAGCGTTATGATGAGACTGACCAAACATACATTATCCTTTCAAGTTTGCCTGAAAGCTGGTTGCCTGTGATTAACAGCATGGAGAGTATGCGTCCCCGAGATCTGACCCTTGAGTATGTGGTTGGCAGATTGACCGAAGAAGCAGAAAGAAGGTCAGATAGACAGGCTGAACTCCAAGAGCGGAGGAGTTACAGCCGAGGGGGCCAGCAGCAGAATCTGCCAAAGGAGCAACACCAAGGTTTGGACTTGGCCATGGCGGTGAGGAGGTGCTATAGATGCAACCAACCCGGACATCTCCAACATCAATGCAGGGCAAGACTTCCAGGAGACGATGTGGAGCAGAGACAGCAATCGACGCAGAAAAGTAAGCAGAAGGGGTTCTCTTCAGGGAAGAAGAACACGCGTTCTGCTCAGTTTGTGTCTGCATTTTCTCGAGAGGAGAGAAAGATACCTCGAGGAACATGGTTGCTGGACTCTGGGAGTAGCAGGATTATCTGCAACAGTCGGGAGGACTTTAAGACCCTGGAGAAGCCAGCTGATGGAAAAGACTCAATCTATGTTGCTGATGGTCGTAGAAGCAAGATTGATGGCCAGGGAACATGTTTCCTGCAGTGCTTGAACACTATTCTACCAGAGACTCTGTTTGTAAGCAGTTTGGACTATTGTTTGCTGTCTGTAAGCTGTTTGATTAATGCAGGGTATAGTGTTAAGTGTTACGATATAGAAGCAATGCAGCCGCGAGCTGCTAGCTTGAAAACAGCACATGATGGAATGTTAGGACTGTTCCGTGGGAAACAGTGGGACAGTCAATTCACAGGGCAATGCACCGGAATTAGCTCAGAGTGTAATATGAGCTCTTCCTTTTGCTCTTGTACAGGAAGTACAGGTTTTGTTTGTCTCTCGAATGCTAGAGTTTGAAGAGAGCAGTCATGTTTTTTGTAACGCTGCAAAGACAGAATTAAAGGCATGTAAATACGTTTCTGTCTATCTCTTTCCCCTGCCGGGGGGGCAGGAAAGAGGGGGGTTGGCTGTTTTCAACTGCCTTGTTCGGCAGGAACATCGAGGATAGAATCATAGAATTACAAAACTCGAGAAGAAGCATCTTTGGCAAATGAGTGAAGTAGGGGAATTTACTCTCGGCAAATTCAAAGATTCCATGAGCTTAGTTGGGTGGACAATTGACTGAGAATTGTAAGTAAGCAACGAACTTTATCTTATTTTTTCTTCGCTCACCACTCCTCTGCCTCCCGCAATACTCTCTAAGGTGCATTAAGACAATTCCAATTATTGCGGATATTTCTCCTAATCTCCACTATGGGCCATGGCAAGCGGCCAAGGGACCTGGATGAGGCAATGCCTCCCCCGAGGCCCAAACAGTCTAAGATTGATTCTTTCTTTCTTAACTGTACCAGAAATAACAAGGAAGATAGCTACACGGTTGAAACTCACAATCGTTTTAATCCTTTAATTGACCTCGTACCCGATATAGAAGTGGAGGGGGTGAACTCGAAGGCAACGAAAAATGCTAATGATAAGGACAAAGAAGTGAGAGTCACCGCGAAGGGGGAGTCCGAGTTGGCCCTGGGCGATGGTTTGGGATTCGAGCATTTCCAATTAATAACCAGGACCCTGCGCTGCATCTTTAAGAGTATAAATGGGATCTCCATGCAGGTGAATAATCTCCACCAAAAGCTTGAGGCCCATTTGCTGGAGCTGCAGCACAACCTCACTCTGCCTCCAAGGGATTTAAAGAGACAGCGGTGTACCTCCCCTGTTAGACATGAAAGTGGTACTGGTGTTCATCTCCTAAAATCTCAACTGGACTTTCAATCTCTGATCTTACAACCAAACAAAATATGTCTAACTATACGCAGCAGTGACCCCAGGTCCCCAAGGTGGATTAACCCGAGAGAGGTCAAAGATCATCTAAGGCAACTCCTTCAGATTAGGCCTCCGCTAATAGATCTCAGTACAGTGAAACTTTTATACTACCACCATCGGTTCCAAAAAGTACTGCTCTCCTTCCAGTCACCAAAAATTCCCTCCATACTGGTTAGGCGCAAAGCGTTATTGGCCACCTGGGGCATCTTCCCAACGAGAGTCTTTAATGACACCAGGACTAAACCTCTTTTCCGTAGCATCGTACAAAAAGGTATCCGCTCGCCAGACAGGCGCGACATAGTCTTGAAACTCAAGCTGTCCACCCAGGAACCTCACCCTCCCTCTCAGCCCAAGCTTCCTGGTTTATCTACTCCAGCAACAGAGAAGCATGACCAAAGCGGACCCAGTCATCTGGCTTCCTCAGAGGAGAGGGACCTTATTTCATCCTATGGCGAGTTGCCATTAGTAGAACAGCAGGAAGTTATAAACAGGCTTGATACACTCAAGCAGCAACTTACACATGTACTTCAAGAGAAAATCTCCTCAAAACCTGGTCATAGCAACCTATTAAATCAAAGGAACGCAGTCATGAAGGGGCTAACACCCCAGAAACCCCTGCCAATCACTGGGACTCCAATAACGGATGATATGGCAGTCTGCCTGGCGGAAGCTCCTCATACACCGTCGCAACGCAGACCCTCTTCACCTCTACTAATAGATTTGCAATCAACTACCTCGTCCCTCGCCTTAAAGAGCAATATGCCAAACACCATTCATCCAGGTAATCTGTCAATGTCCTATTCTTCCATGCCTGACCTGGAGTCCTCATTCAGTGCGGTCCAGGCAGATGACTGTATATCCTCGTCCTTTGTCAGTCAACCTCGTTTGGTAGAACCTCTTGTATCCGTAACCTCTTCAAGCCAATATATAAACGTTAAGGAAGCCACTGTGCAAAGAGACAGCTCAGGCTCTATTGAAGACCCTGCTGGCCACATCAATCAAATTACCACCCCTTCGATACCTTCGGCTGTATCACGCCTGGCGCGGTCTCAGACCCTTGGCAATGCTTCTTCCACCAGCAACCAGAGTATCTGACTAGCACATAGTCCCTCCCCAAACTGCTTCAATGTGCTATCCTGGAACGTGGCGGGATGGACGTCCAAACAGGATGGCGGGGATATGATAGAGTTTTTAGCGAAATTCCAGATTATGGGTATACAAGAGACCTGGTGCTTAGAATCGTCACCCCCCCCTTCCCTACTGGGCTATGATGCTTTTGTGATTCCTGCGACCAAAACACATTTGTATGGGCGCCCTAGTGGAGGCCTGGTAACATTTGTTTCGCAGGAGCTTCATCTTAATATCTCTCCTCTCCTTTGGTTAGAGAGTAATTGTATTCAAACTTTGCACATCACTAACAGCCCGGTTGGGGACTTCATATGTGTTAACTTGTACAATCCATCTACCTACTCCTCTTCCCATACAAATCGGTTTTGGGAGGATCTAAGATTTATCCTTGATAAATCTGTGGCTGAATTCCCAAAGTCAGAGATCCTCATAATGGGGGACTTTAATGCCAGAATCGGAGCAGATATAAGCTCATTCACCGATAAGTCGCAACTATTCATAGAAGAGGAGTGGTTTCCTACGTGGAATTCACATGACAAGACCATTAATAGGGCTGGCATCATACTGCTGGAGTTTACCATTAACTGCGGGCTGCACAGCTTGCATGGTACACCCAAAGACTGGTCCGGGGGATGCTATACTTTTCTAGGATCTAGAGGGGCAAGCGTTATAGATTATATCTGGTCCTCCTCGGCACTTAATGATAAGGCATATTGTTTCAATGTGTTCAACAGAACCGAAAGTGACCACCTTCCTATTGCCATCTCCTTCCACCACACACAGCTGGGGCTCCCCAGCTCACTCCTCCTCCAGGATTCACTGACCTTAGCCCCCGGTCGTAAGAAGTGGGATATCTATCTGGAGCAAGACATAAAACTCCTCCTAAATTCTCCGGAGATCCTAGCCCTGAAAGCTCAGCTGGTAACAATGAATGTGAATCATTTCTCAAGTTTCCAACAAATTCTAGCCTACTTGCTCCCAACACTTACGAAACCCTCCCGTGCGAGTCTAACCTGGAAGAATCAAACTTGGTTCGACCAAGAATGTAAACAGTGCAGAAGTAGGCTTAGATTCCTTCAGTCTGATATGAAATCAGACAGCACCCAGAGCAAAATCAGGGAGTTAGCCCAATTCCGTTCTTACTACAAGAAGTTGCTCCAACATAAGAAATTGATCTTTGCGAAAGAATGCTGGACGGCATTGTCAGTGGCCATTAAAACCCGTGACGATAAGAAATTCTGGAACTTAATTAATGCAGGTTTAAGACCCCCCTCATTCATCGTTAATAACATCACAGCAGCCAGTTGGCACTCTCACTTTGCTCAGCTGTATTCCGCCCCAGATTCCGACGTAAACGCAGTTTCCACTCTTCCTGCATCTGCCTTGCCCACCTGGGAGCCAGTCTCCCCAGAGAGATGTGTACAACTAATTAGCATGTTATCAGGGGATAAAACACCGGGGAGGATATGATTCCACCCGAGGTATTCTTATTGAACCAGATGTGGTGGGCCCCTATTTTTGCATCTCTCTTTACCACTATTAATGCCACTCTTAAGATCCCGCCAAATTGGAAACAGAGCATAGTCATCCCAATACATAAAAAGGGGGACCCACAAGATCCGCGTAACTATCGACCCATCAGCCTGCTAGACATATCATACAAGGTTTACTCTAGATTCTTGCTAGAGAAATTAATCGAGTGGGCAGAAGAAACAAAGCTATTCCACTCGGAACAGGCTGGCTTCCGTAAAGGTCACAGTACATCTGGCCAATGTCTTGTTCTATTTACCCTGATTGATAAATACCTAAACAGGTTTAACTGCAAACTACACGCGGCTTTTGTGGACCTGACCTCCGCTTTTGACTCCATTCCCAGAGATAGGCTATGGCAGAAGCTTAGTTACACCAACATAGATAAGAGACTCCTCCTTCTTCTTATGGAAATCCATAATGACATATCGGCCAGAGTAAAATTTGGCCCCCTGGGAGCTCTTTCTGATTCTTTCCCTCTGAATAAAGGGGTCAAACAGGGCTGCCTCTTGGCCCCTTTTCTATTCAATTTCTATATCAACGACATCGTTACAACTATGCAGGCCCTAAATCAATCTGCCCCCTCTCTACAACAGCTTAAGATCCCCATATTACTCTATGCGGACGACATGGTGATACTGTCTTTAACCAAGCAGGGCTTAAACAACATGCTCAGAGGGCTCATGACATATTGTGATACCAATTCCCTCAAAATCAATTTCGCCAAAACCAAAATTCTTACTTTTGGCACGAAAACTCGGAAGTCATTCTGGAACTTTGAGGGCCACTCTATTGAATATTGCTCAGCTTTCAAGTATTTGGGAATCACTTTTCAGCATGGGCTTAGCTGGTCAGCTCACCTAAATATGACCATCCTGGCTGCCCGCAGAACCATCAAAGCCTTGGAGAAATTCTTCTATGCAAAAGGCGGCCAGTTGGTTCCTCCAATCAGAAAAGCATTTATTAGCAAAGTCCTCCCGATGTTACTGTATGGGGTTGAAATCTGGGGGTGGAATTTAAAAACACTACAACGGCTGGAGATTCTACAAAACTCTTTTGCACGAAAGATACTGGGTCTCCCCAAGGGCTCGGTTGCTGCTCAGTTAAGAACAGAACTGGGCCTCCCCTCCATTGTTGCGAGAGCCCACATTAGAATTATTAGTTTTTATTGCAAATTAATCAATGCCCCAGGTTCCCTACTAGCCAGGCAAGCCTTTTTAACTTGTTCTCACTCCAACAAATGGTCCAAGGCCATGGAGTCTATTACTGTACGCTACTCCCTCCCAGAATTCGACACGTTGTCATCTTGGGACCAACATAAAATCCGGGCCTGGATTCTTATAAGAGATGAGGCCATGGACCGGGCACAGTCCACCTCAGCTCGCCTCTCCATGTGGCTCCCTAAAGTGAAAGTGGTAAGATCACTTGCCAACTACTTGATAGACCTGACGGAGCCCAATTTGAGAAGAGCGTTTACAATGGCCCGTTTTCATTCTATACCCACGGCCTTCCTGCAGGGGACCTACTCTAAGACCCCTATTACTCAGCGTCTATGTCCATGCACAATGAATGAAGTAGAGGACTTCATACATTTCTTTTTCTACTGCCCTATTTATGATCCAATAAGACCCAAGCTCCTCCTCTTGATCCCGTCCTCCATTGCATCTAAGGAAGACTGTCTGAAAGCACTTCTTGTGGACGCAAACCCCCAAATTTCACGTGGGGTGGCAATCTTCACAGTGCAGGCTCTGAAACTCAGGGCTACTCTGACAGGGTAGTGTGCCCTAGTCCTGGACCTGTTTAATTCTTTTATTACCTTTTTAACTCAATGTGCTGAGCCTATTTTGGGGCCATTTTATGCTTTATTTATATCCGCATACTAGTTTTTTTGGCGCTGGCAACCAAATCTCTGTATTATTGTCTTAGGGTGTTTTAAATGTCATTACGCCAGCAATATCGCTTTGAATTTTGCTTGGTTGCTTGTCCCCAACATTTTTGTATTGTCTTATTTTGCTATGGCTGTATGCTAATGCAATTAAATTAAATTATTATTATTATTATTATTATTGTCTCTCGACTGCTGGAGTTTGAAGAGAGCAGTCATGTTTTTTGTAACGCTGCAAAGACAGAATTAAAGGCATGTAAATACGTTTCTGTCTATCTCTTTCCCCTGCCGGGGGGGCAGGAAAGAGGGGGGGTGTTCTTCTCACGCTGAGAAGGATCGCCTATCGTGACCTCTGCCGGGTCTTGCCGGGAAAGCAGATAGGGAGGTCAACATGAGACCAAGCCGAGTGCCTGGGAGAGTTGTCAGTTTCTCCTGATAAAGGCTTGATTCCCAACATCTGGTAGCACGGAGCCGATGGCATCGATCCATGAAAGCAGCAATAGAGGTTGATGGATCGTAATTCATCCTCTGCAAGGAGATAAAGGAAGATATGGTAGCGTGCGGATGGAAGCTACAAAACACGGCTGAGCTCCGAAGCAGACGTTTTTGCTGATAAGCCAGGAGCAACGGAACCCCTAAAGTATGCTGAATTATGGGCTAAAAGAGTGAACACAGATTGATTCTTCTCTGGTTCACAAAAGCTGCTTTTTGGATAAAAGCCAGCACTGAGAGAGAGAGCCACATTCTTCGCATTCCTGGGACTGATAAGGTTTGCTGCTCAAACCTGGAATGTCCAGTTGCTAAGCAACGAAACGTCAGTAAAGTGGAAAGTTACTAGCCAACACGGAAGTGAGGCTGGCACAGTGAGAGGCTGGAAAAACACTGGGAAAACAGCGTTTGTTTTGTCTGCTATCTCACTGCTCTTGGAGGGACTTTCAGAACAGCCTGCGTTTAGCTGCCAAGTGCAACGCAGTGAACAGCCAATAGACTCTTGGAATTTTACAGGCTTGAGAGTGAGAACTGAGGCTTGGATTCAAAATGGATGCCAAGAATGCGGGAGGCTTACCTTACCCACCTCCACTGACTAATGACAATTATTCCTCATGGTCTGTAAAGATGAAAGCCCTGCTTCAGAATCAGAGGATTTTTGGGGTGATTGATAACCCCCATCCCTGCTGCACCAACGCCAGGTTGGAATTCACAGAATGTGAGAGCCAGGACGGCCATAATTCTGTGTA